ACTAACTCTGGTTGACTTTTATCTTAGAGCAGTGAATCAGCTTTTGCGCGGGTTGGAAACTGATCATTCAGGTTCACTTTGATCTGGGTAAAATTCCACATCGATGATGTCATTTGCGGCATATTCATCAGTCGAATGTACAGCCTCGCAGTGCTAACCTAGCCACATATTTATGCGTCCATGAACAATGAACAAACTTTTCTCTGGCATCTGTTGATTGTACGAGCCACTCTGCTAAGAAAGGGCATTGAAGCATGAGAGAATTTGCTAAATCCGTCATGCGATAGCCGCTAATGGAACGCTCGGTAAACTCTCGCGAGTTCGCGGCAGGAACCTTGCGGCACGGTTAACGTGTTGTAAAATCGGCCTGTTTGCTTTAAAACAAATGAATATGTTTCTCGGCGTTTGAATCGATGTGTCAGCTTAATTGATGTGGTTCAATGCCGCGGCGACATTTTACGTTGATGACTAGGTTTGCTTGTCCACGCGGGGTCAACGCTATGCCCTGTGCGAACAGCCGCGTTCTTCGCCTTCGCCAGCTGTCTTATTTGGTGCAGGTAGAACCGACAGGGAACCAGTTTTCATAAATTAAGCCAGCAGGCCTATCCCGAAATGTTGAAATTATACTGTCGAAGTATATGATCGCTAATGAAAGTTGCATTTCTGTGTAAACAATGAGCAAGCTATATAAATATCACTGTAAGTATTTACTAATATAATTGAAAATCTGCAACAAACAGCCTATTACGCATCTCTCTGCAGGGCCTATGAGAGATCCGCTGTACACATGAGGCGTGAATCTACAAAAATAAGCGATACATGGCTAAGCCGTTAAGCAGCCAGTGAATTAAAAGATGTTTTATGTAGATGGAGAGGATGCGATGCTGTAAAACACAACCACAGAGCTGATGGACATGCCTTTATTGTACCACTGGCAGTGCTTTTGCCAAACAACAGGGAATGTCCTTCTCAGGGCAAACGATGAACCAAGTTTTGGAGAGTTGATTAAATCGCTAAACTGTTAAGCGGATTTTCAAACTGCGAAAGCGTGTTCACGGACCCTCAGCGATCTAATTTTGTGAAAATGACTGTTTTCGTGTAGAAGAGCTGTCGGGTGACAGTGTAGGATGCTTAGCACTAGCAGGCCAGCTGAAACCGGATCAGAATTTTATTTTACTTTCTGTCCAAATACTTTATTGAATTCATTGAGCTCAGCTGATTCTACGACAATCAATTACTTTAAACTGGTAAACCTTTAGTTTTATCGTGCTTTATCTTCTGACGGTACTAGTATAATAAGAATTGTGGTATACATTACACACAACATAGTTAACGACATTACGTAGGTAACTAAGCACAGCCGCGCCATGCAGAGCGCACAACAGTAGATTATACTAGTGCTGAGAAGAATTGTATAATCGACTCTGGTTCGTGTGCTTCATTCACCGGTATTCACGAGTAATACTCTAAGTTTGCCTGACAACCAACAAACATGAAATTCATTAAGTTGTCAAACCAAACATTGCAGCGGTATCAGTGAATGCTTGCAAATCAGATGGGACAGGGACAACTGCTCCAGATTTGGCCTATCCTGCAAACTCTTTACCAACAAAACATCAGAGCACTGCGGATTGGGCTATGACAGTCATTCGGTTCTACAAACTACCTAAAAAGCCAACGATGATAGACTAGTGCTTGAATTTTTACACAGCAAATTTTTGTTTCTGTGTTAACAGGTTTTCCCTTGTTTCCAGCTTTTATCAACCTAAAATTCAACGGTAATTTGTTTAAAAGGCATAACCGAAAATAGGGGAAAGAAGCCGGTGAATTGCTTTATTATCGAAATTCCAGATCGTTCTTTTTTACAAACTCATTTCATTATTTAGCTGATGAAAGGCGGAAGCCTGGTTGCATAGAAACGAATTTTTCATGTGTAAATTTTTCAGTTAAAAGTTTTCCATCGTTGTTCATGGCCCCCATAGCGTCAGGTAATTTTGGATTGTTATGCCTACATAATCAGTAAATATACGTAATTTCAAGTCCGTGGCGAATTCACGAATCTTAGGAAAATTGTTTTGTACATTTTCTATTTTGACACCGTATCGAAGTGCGTAATGGCACCGTCCCTTTGCTTCTAGTTGCGTAGGGAACCATTTAAGCAGGCCATGGCTTCATGGTATTTGATCACCCGCAGTGCATGGATGCAAAACTGCACCATTAGGCAGGGCCGAACAAAGGCTTTTTCGGACACCTGCAAATATGCCACTATCCGTAGGTATATTTGTACATAAAAGGTGTTTTCTGTTTTGCTAAATTGTTTTATTCATTGAATGATGAATCTCTCTAATCACGTTAAGAAATCGAGATCTGAAACCTTATTTATTAAACAAGATTTCGAATAATGCGTAATCGCTATAAAAAAACCGTATGCTTCCAAAATCTGCGGGAAGGAAAACTTACGTTAAAGAAACTACTAGTTGCTAGAAAGTATGAACTTTAAGTTAACGGCAGTTTCCCGTTGCTTTGAACCTTCGCCTGAAATTCACGATATACTGTGAAAGCGTTGGGAATTTGTGCAAACTTTCCAATGTTTTGGGTTTGTCACACAGCTGCAAAAAAACCATCCTGTAGATCTCGATATCGTGCACCAGAAAAAACATCCTGAGGATCATTTTACGATACCTTGTATTTTTGTAGCGTTGTATGTTTTTGGGCGTGCAATGATGCATGTTTTTCGTCTTTCTGGCCTGTTTGGAATTATTGCGCAGTGTCATATTTTTCAAATGGCTTCTTTGTGGCTCGGCAGCGCGTAGGCGTTGTCGTTCAACTCTGTCCTTCACGGATACGGACTCAAGTTTTAGAGGCAGGAAAATTACCTGTTGTTAACAACTGATTGCATGATCGGTCAATTCTCCGTATTGTGCTTCGGTACACCCAGCCCAGAAACAGTTCGCATGTCATTTACCTGAGAATGGTCATACAGAATTTACAGTGCGGTGTTCCGGAATGGCCATGGCAAAGTTCGTTTACAAAACTTACCGTGTTCTGCCGACCGATACTTGCTGCTTGATGTTGCACAATTCGCTGCGACCCAACTTATACCTTAAGAAATTAGCACAAGGTGCAAATTATAAAAAAAACATAACGCATACAGCATATGATAAGCAGTATATTGCCAGAATCAGTATGTTATCCTAATTGTTCACCTTATCAACTAAACACTGACCTTAGTAACCGTATAGTTATTAGGTATTGTAAGTATAAAGTACTGCGGTATTTACTCCTGATGTATTGCGTACTCTGATCGCATGTATTACAGCAGGCGGCTGAGGGCTGACTGTGAACAGTATTTAGTAAGAGCATTGTAGTATGTAGTATGTTATCTAATATATACTATGCAGAGTGCACAATGTATTTGCCATTCGTTGCATGCCGTGCGGATTACATGCAGTACTTGTGCTGTGTACCGTGTCTATTCAGCGAAGCATGCATCGTACAACATGATGCACAAAATATGATATATCTAACAGTAAGAAGTATGGCATGTAACATGTAAAATACATAACGCAGTATGGTACATAAGATACTCTATGGGATGCGACAGTATATGTACTGTTCAGTGCGTTTGTACAAAAATTAGGTACGTGATGAACTACATCTCGTGGCGTATTACGCAGTATGTACTACCCATAGAATATGTTTAATGC